TTTATAAAAACATCATACTTAAAGGATATGTCGTCAGGACAAGTAAGTTGCACATAAACAACGTAGATAGATAATGCAATTTAACGGCATTCTCGTAACACAAGTATGCGGAATAAATTATGGACACTGCTAATAAGCGAGAAGCGATTTTAGATAGTACGTTTACTTACTTAAGTAAGTCTTACTAACCTACATTTGCACTGCTGTATGTACAATTACCAGCGCAGGTATGATTCTCCTAAATCCTAATACAACAAAATTTAAAGTACAGATTCCTATTTCAAATGTGACATCAGTTGCCTGCTTGAGCGTTTTCAATTTATTTTGAGATGCCCTCCTCGTTTTTTGTTCCATTCTTTGCGAGCAGCCGTCTCATACATTTTTTTTTGTGATATCATGTTTCATATAGTCTTATCATTCTTTAAATGCGTGTAGTTATAACGGAAATTTGGACCTCCACACTTAACAGTGAGGTGTACAATAACTTAGGCTGCGTCGTTTTATCGATAGTAAAATTAAATTTGACTATAATTTAATGTCTCGTCAAATCCATAGTAAACTAGGTGACCCGGCGAACTTTGTACCACCCAAAAGTAATAATTTGCAATGAAATAATATTTCCACTATAAATTGAGATGTAAGCTATGCTATCTTTAAAGTTCTATCACACTGCATACCTACGGTGTGCAAATTTGATTAAAATCGGTTAAAGTAGTTTAGGAGTCCATCCCGGACAAACAACCGGACGCGTAATTTAAATATATTAAGATGTGTAATTTTTTACAAATGGTTATAATTTCTTTAGTATTATTACTGTTAAATTTAACTATCGAAGAAACAACGCGGCCTTTGTTGTTTGCCAGATATTCAATATTAAAACAAAAATAGGTTGATGAATCCTTATCCTATATGCCTGCAGCAAAGCAAATGCCGTGCCAAAAGCCATCGGTGTGCAACAAACAATTACTGATAAAATCGTTTCAAGACGTCCGCAGCGCAACACTAGCCGTGCCGCGTGACGTGATGCATTCGACCGTATTCATGTAGAGTTGAGACGCTAAAACTGATCAAAAAATTACGAGTATTTAATTATATTATATATATAAAAACATTGTTAAAAATCATAAGTATCCCGTTTATAATTTTGAGTGACGAACTTCTTAGCAATCCATGGATTCACCGTGCGGATGCCGCGTCCATCGTGTGGGAGAGAGAGAAACTCTTAACAGTTCCCGGGACTTGCGACCCAGGTGTAGGTTTAAGAAGGCCCCCTGTAAGATGCGCATCAACGCTCACCTTCACTGCTCGAGTTGCCCGCCCTTCCTAGCCAAAATTGATAGGAGCCTGTTAGTGCAGCCATAGGTACTTGTTCCAAAATTGAACTTACTGCAGTTCTCGACAAGCCTAGGTCTTTTAGAAGGTTATATACCTCTCGCTCCTACTTCTACATTTTTAGTTAGTTCGTTGGTTAGATAGTAATATCTATTCAATTTGATTGTGTGGTCTTTTGGAATGTTAGTTTCATACGGTACAGTAAGCTCTATTAGTACTTTATGTTTGATGTGCTTAGAGAAGAGGAATATGTCCGGCCTGGATGATGAAACACCAACATCCTCTGGTATTTTATAATGCTTTTCAAATGTATCCATTAAAATAATCCAGTCATGTGCAGTACCTAGGATTGAGAAAGGCTTGCTTTTCAAGTTAACAGTTGAGCATTCTTTGTGATTTTTATTTGTGATTTATCCTTTTTGGGGTCTAGCCACTGCAAGACTTGCTGCTTCGCGTATGACTTCAAGTACTCTATGTGCAGTAAACAAAATTAAGGATAATGCAGACTCGCGCAGGCTCTCACTAAACTGAAACCTGCGCAAAATCGCGCTCGCTGCTATCTTCAAATCGCCAAGCTAAAATCACACTACATAATCTTCTTTGTTGTTACTCTCTCAAAGCAAGGACGCGAGCTTGGACAACAGAAGACAACCGCTGCTTGACGCCGCTCTTGGAGAATTGAAATGTTGGTTCGAGGACAAGTTGCTTGATGCCGAGTTCTATGTTAGATCGTAGTCCATGATATTGAAAGAATTCTTCCTGTATCTTTAAAAAATAAAATGAGCGAGCCTTACAGTAGTCGCGTATGATGTGTAACATTTGAAAACCTCACCATATATTAGTAAAAAAGTAAATAAAACCTACTACAGAAGGAATAAGCCATTTGAACATTATGTTCTAAAATCAAATAAAATAGCGCGCGCTTTCGCGATGATTTCCTGTTACACACTTCCGTCCCATTTCACGAAATCATTCCCACAAATTGCAGGAAAGATGTTTCACATCAAAAAATATCGCGTATTTAGCCTTACCCTTAAGCAACTCCACACATCCCTAGTCGCGTGCGCCGTTCTAGTCGGCCGCGCCCATTGTGTAACAGTCAACACAACACAACACGACACCGACTCCGCACCGCCCCGTCACAATAGCTGCAGACCTATAAGTGCAGTGCACCTCTCTTGCAAAGTGAATGCACGCAAGTACCAAACGTTTGTTCAACAACGACAAGTTTCCTTGTAACCTTTGATGGACGACGGCGCAAGTCGATGACCGCTTGCTTGTGTTTACAAGAGTAGCTATAACTATTGGTGTAGCTGTAGGTAATACGCTGCCTGCGGAAACTGTAAAGGTGTGATCCCACGATGTGTGATGTCGCGGGCGAGGACGCGCCGCGCATGGTTTTTCCAGTCTCTATACATGATACGAGGTAAATAGAAATCTCGTAGACTTTGTGATGGCATAATAAAGCTGTACTTACTTAGTCGCTCCTTCATGGACTGGCGATTTATTTACTTTCTGAGAATATTTTTGGTTTGTGTACATGACACAAACAGTCAACATTGTTCAAATCTCATATCAAAGTGTATGAGATTACTATTTACCTCGTATCATGTATATATAGAGACTGCAAAAACTCAAACGATGAGTTCTCATACGTTTGGCACACACATTGTGGTTTCGCACCTTAACAGTATTTTTGATATCAATTTAATTTAATTGATTAAAAAATGTTGCGATTCAAAATAAAGCTACAAATCAAGATACCTAATCTATAGTTATCTAGGTATTTATATGTAAACGACTTCAGAGTAACTAGATTCTACAATAGGCAAATAAATCATTACTCTTTTGTTATTCCGTTATAATGACCTACAAAGGCTTTATTGTCTCTAAATTTAAATACAATTTCCAATGAGTCGAGATTAGTTTTATTTTCATTCCCTGAATTGAATACATTAAATTCACGGCATTCTTTTGCGATGCCCATTTTTTCTGTTCCCCATAACTATACATGTTTCCATAATTACTAGGTTAACACTAAGACCTAACCAAGTTGTCATCTGGAAATAAAAGCAAAAGCTATTGAATAAAACAAGCTCCAACGGGTTACAAGGTTTGATTTGAATCGCATACTCCGACACTACATTTTTATTTAAAAAAACGTACATATAATTGGCAGAACCAACATTCAGGGCTGCCCCAAGTTCAAAGTCAATTGATATTTCCGCTCCGCACCGCGTCGTCGTCGGCTCGTCGAGATCTAGTGCGCCGACGCGTCAGCTGCCTAACAATGGATCCGACCTAACGTTCACTCTATTACCCATTCCATAGTTCAACTCTACATTGAAAATTGCACCGCGGTGACTTTTGCCATTCCAATCGAAATGGTGTGGTTTCAATACTGATTGAAACTCATATAATCCGGAAACAATAGAATTAAAGCCGTGATTTTCTCTAAGGGCGATTGATCAATATTGAAACAAAAGATCCATTCCACTGTTTAGGCATGAGCCGCAAAACTTATCATTTCTGAACATCCAGAGTTACGTTAAACTTTCTAACTAATTGAGAACTATAAAAAACGCAAAAAGCTTGTGCTTATGTGTAATCCGACATGGGAAATACGTCTGGCTAACAAATCAATGTCTCGGCGTTTAGTTCGTTGGAACTTTTGCAAGGGTTGCTGTTTGTGTTCTATAGAAAGAGAGCATAGAATCGAATCTTGTACCTACAGCTACAGCTGTTTTGTAGAGTCGTAAAACTGCAACTTTTAAAAGATTATATCGTTTGATCTCTATGAGTACGAGTATAAAAATATTTTCTTTGTTTAGGTTCATAAATTACCATACCTAGAGCAATTATTGCCTCAAAGTTTTATGCATACAACCAATCTGCATATTTCGTAGACTATTAAAACACCTGAATATGCATGAAATCGTTCTATTCTTCCTTTTGTAACATCTTGTAATAAGAGGTAGGGAATAGCTGGTTTTCTGCTCGAATTGCAGCGTCCGTCCGGGGAAGTAACCTCCACCTTGCAACAGACCGCAGTAAAATAACACTATCTTTGATGGTGCTTTGTTCTGTCGGTGAGTAAGGTTTAGAGCTCCACGGGGCGAGTTATATTTTTGGTATAGCAAGCGCCTGTATGCTATGGTTCATAGATAATAAATAAATAAAAAACAGATGTGTACTAATAAATAATACCTACATATCACATATTTAATACTTAACTATTCAGGTATGGTAATATACCGGACAAACTTCAATTATTCTCAAATAATGTTCCAAAAATTAATAATAACTAGTGAACAATCGTCGACCGAGCTCAGGATCGAATCACTGATCTTTTGATATCGACCCTTAGACCGACTTTGTTCGGCTATCCGTCTCTTGCAACGCGTTACAAAATTAAGGATAAGGCTACCTACCTACCTTGTGTCAATCGAATCTCAGGTCACAACAATAATATAGAAGTATTCACTTCAATAAAGAATGCCTAGTATTTGACATAAATAGAGAATAGACTGAGCGACACTCACATGCAATTGACAACTCGTTACGGCCTTACAATCGCTTCGTCTCTCCACACATCTGCTAAGCGCAGTCCATTCTCCGTGTCTTTGATTTAACCATTATTTCTCTGACCCGAACCAATTCTCTCCCAGGATCCGACCTCAAACGCCCGGCGAGATCATCGAAGGATGTAGCGTGTGCGCACGCGCTGGCGGCGCAGCGGGTGATGGGGGCGTCGCGCTTGGCACCGAGCGCGCCTTCACCTTCGACTTCGCCTTCGAGCCCAACACCGCCCAGCAGCAGGTGTATGACACCTGCGTCAGGAAACTCGTCGAGGCCGCTCTAGATGGCTACAACGCCACTGTACTCGCCTACGGACAGGTCAGTAGTTGTTAGATTGTTCCTACACCATGTTTGAAGAATCCCGTCTTGTAATTCTTAAGACAAACTGAGACGGAAAATCCTATACCTTGTCGCATCGAGCGCGTCTAACCTTCAACTACGCCTTCGAGCTCAGCAGGGTTGCCAGGTCTCTCGATTTTACAGGAGATCTCCTGTTTTTCTGAAATTTCTCCTGTGCTTCTGTTTTTCTACATGAATCTACTGTTTTCTTATAATACGATTTTCTTTAAGATATTATTGTATCAAAAAAATCAAGCGAGTCGGGGGGACCCACTGGATGCGGCGAGCGCAGTGTTCCATATGGAAATCCCTTGAGGAGGCCTATGTCCAGCAGTGGACATCCATCGGCTGATGATGATGATAAAAAAAACGAGCTTTGAGGGGCGGCAGAAGCCACAGAATACATTCGTTACTGGCCTATATCTTGATTTTATACAAGTAGCTCTTTCCATACTTCTACTGCTTTTTTCTATAACGCCAGCTCGGTCAACTTGTTTCCATTTCCACACCTTTTTGTAGTTTACAATCTTATAACACTTGTCACAGTTTTCTACAGGGACTATAAAGTCAAAGGAAACAATTCTTTATTCAAATTGGAAGCAAAATACAACTCTTTTGATATGTCTATATTCAGAAGAGTTGTATTATACTTCCAATTTGAATAAATATTTTTTTTTGCTTTATAGTCCCAACAGAAAACCGAGACAAGGTGTTCATTCCACAACCTTGTCTACTCTCATAATAATAAATAATCTATGCGTCTCTGAATACTAGGTGTTTGCCTACGGAAAGTTTAGTGCGGAACATCTCTAAAACACGTGATATTAAAAAAAGTTATAGGGAGAAAAAACTGGTCTTCCCGAGTTTTTTGCTGCTCCTTGTACAACATCTCGCGTTGTAGATTCGCGAACCGATGACGTACCTCATGGCTTAAGTTTTTCACTACTAGTGTATATAAAACAACTACGGAATAAACAATATTGAAGTATGCTAATGATAGTTGTGTCTTCATACGCCAAGAATACTTTGAATCTTGTTGTATCTTCCTTTTTATCTGTGCTGAAGAAACCATGACCTTTCGAGGCATATGCGTTTAAAGGGATCCAATATGCAGCGTAAAAAATACACACAATTCATGACTCCGAGACGCAAGATCTTCTCTTTTTAGCTGCAAAGCTGGAGTACCCCAGGGCTCTGTACTTGGTCCGGTCCTCTACAACGTATTTACTAGCAACCTACCCCAGTCACCAGAAACAACGGTAGCAACCTTCGCCGATGACGCGGCCTTCCTCAGCTGTAACACTGATCCTAATGCAGCGACCAGACTTTTGCAAACCCAGCTTGATGCCATTACTGCTTGGCTATCCAAGCCCGAAAACGATACTCAACCACCTATAAGAATCGCTTGCATATCACCAAAACCCATTATCCGGTATGCTTTTGAAGCCAAACACGACTAGAAGACTCAAGAGAACCGATGTGCTAACTTTCTAAGGGGAGACGGAGCAGTGGCTCCACCTCACCAAACCCCAACCTCTTGCAACTCACCTGATTATAGTCTTACTTACGAGTTACGACTTACGACTGATCGCAGGTTTAATCATGGGAACAAAAATATTGACTTTGACTTCTGGTTTTAAACATTCCAATCATACTGCCAGCTTCTGATTTATATTCCAAGATTTACTGTTTATGAAAACAGATGAATTTTATTTTCCATTTTACTCATAATGTTTAGATGCGTAACGACAATTCCACAATCCCCAGTGCCTATTTTATACTTGTAACGCAAACGAACTCAAATTGTTTACCATTGTCTTCGACAACAAACAACGATCGTCGGCGGTTTTCTACTTACAAGGTGGTTTCTTAAGAACACGACGCATTTGCCTAACGGTACATTGTTGCTTTGCCGGTGGTTATAATAAAAATGTTTACAAACATCAAGTGCATTTTATGTGCGCTCCGTGCAGGAATTAACTGGAGTCCATTCGATAATTATTATAAGAGAGAGTAAAGTTTTCTCGTCCAAACGATTTTGATTAAAATTTATATTGAAATTGCGAGACAACGACATAGGAAGAGAATGTAATGAATCATTGAATAGATGAAAATAAACATTGCTACGCAGGCGACATTCGCGCTAACTACTCAACAAGTCTCATTTATTATTATCTGCCCCAAAGAAGGTTTATTACACCCTCTGAAATAATTAATTACAGTACCTACTTATATATAATTATATTTATACTGTTTTATCATCCTTCCTAAACGTATAATGTTGTACATACGTTTAATTACACAAGTAATACGTTGTAGTTTAAGTGTATTTTGTTTTTCGGTACAAATCGGCCCATTTTTGGGAGTGTTATTGTATATGAAGCTGTGGTTTCGCAGTAATATGTTAGGGTCACTCAATGATAGTGAACTCCCAAAGGGGTACATATGCATAGTAGCATTCTTAAGTACCTAGTTGCTTATAAGTTATATAAATTCCAGCCATCAAAGTTATCGATTGAACTAGAATCACGATATTTTTTATGTGTTTTGTATGGTTTAACATGAGAGCATCAACACATTGGTTTGGGATTAGCTGTTAAAGTATTAATTCGTAACAAGTGAAAATCATTTCTACTCGTAGAGTGTGAGAAACATCCTGAAAAAATCGCAAAACAAAAACAGTGTTACAGGTAGATGTGATGTGACTCATTGAGAACAAACGAATACACTGATAAAAAGCTATATACTAACGTTTGTAAAAATAGTGCACTAATTACCGCTAGTCAACTGTCATGATTCGCCACTATTTCATCTAACTGAAATTTTAGTGTGAAAGTGAATTTAGATCAATGGCTCTACTAACGACTCTACTCTCTAGAGTAGAACATGCTTCGTCGTTCATCTAAAAATATGTCAGTGCAACGGCTGCATGTAATTGTTGTGTTTTCAAACTGCGACGCCCTAGTACACCACAACGTCCCCTTTGTATCTGCTCTAGCACTACACTCGCCTTATACGGACTAGAAATCATATCCACCAAGGTTTAAAGTTATAAAGACTAACACTGTGCAACAGCTTTACTTAATCGAACACAAAGACCGTTGATGCAAATCATACGTTTGCTTATGAGAGTGTGTCGGTAATAGATGGATGGATGTCCTTTGTGCTCACGTTTCCATTTATTTTAATATTCTCGGAACGTTATTAACATAAGAAAGACATTATTCAATGGAACCTGTTTAACGATATTTGCAATATTAACAAATTACATTCATTCATCTCTATTGTAAATTCTAATCGCACGATCTTAGAAATATAATATATCAAGCGATATATACCTTACCGGTTCCCTTTCTTCAGTGACTATGAATGTAAAAGCATTCTGATTTTGTGTTGAGTGAGCGAGTTCAACCTCACAGATAACCACTATTGTATAAACATTTTAATGAAACACTATTGGAGGGGTCAAAATTTTCGTGTATTTTAAATTTACTTCATAATATCACTTACTTATCTTGAACCTTTGGCCGAATGCACCTCGCATTCTTTTAATTATCTACGACAAATCTATTTCAAAACATTTCGTTTCTGCAAATTTTAGAGAAGTGAGTCTTGCCTAATGAAGCCAAGAAAGAGTGATAGGCAGATAACCAAACTTCGAAATGTTTTAAAAAAAATGGACAAATCATCGATCTAATCACAGAATAAGCTAGCTAAAACAGCGTTAAAGTTGCTAAATACCAATCAAGTAAACATTAATGGAGCTGATCTTAGCTGTGACACAGGTGCTACAGTTCGCAATCATATAAAGTTACGATATATCCCATTAGGCGCCGTGAAGGCCGCCCTTAATCGTAGGTGATGTTAAGTGTTTATTGATTGCCTGACACCGTATTTATGATCGATTATACTCGGCAAACATGATCTTGCAATGAAGTATGTACGGTAATGTAGGATGCGGACATGCGGTGTTGGGTAACAGATAATAAGAGCTGTGATGCGACGTATGAATTACTTAATAGCTATCAATAATCCCACAGTAACATGCTACGTTTGGAATTCTTTGGACTTAAGATGTTGTTTGGAATAAAAAAAACAGATAATGAACCCATTGCATACATACACAACAGTCTTCGAAGCTGTTCGTTCATCACTGGCGAGGCACAGACCCTCCCAACGAGGGAAAAGGGAGAACAAGACATCATCCATAAAGTGAACCCAGTGCGGATTGGGGATTGCAGATGAAGCTGGTACCAACGGCTTAGCGTGCCTTCAAAGGCACGTAGTTGCTCGTAATAATAAGCTTCTAGTCTCCCATTCAGCCCATGTCCGGCCGTTCTGAAAGTTGTTTAGCTTCGCTTTACGATCGAAGACCGAACACGCTAACCACTGCGCCATCGATCTCTTCAAAACCGTCAATTGATAAGCCTTACTGATAGAATATTATCCGTTTAGATGTTTTTATTAACCACGGAAAGCAAAATACGTGTAGAAAATCTATGTTTGTTCGATTGGTCATAAATTGTTTACAGCACGTGTTATGTAATTGTATTTAATAATTTACTGTAAAGTATAGTAAAGTAGTAAGATTATTAGTAGTTAGTAGAAAAAGGAAAATGACAAATAAACACACGGTGCTATACTGGTTTAGCAAGCTTAAGGTATGACGACAAGGTATTAGAGTTTTTGTTTGAACTAAGCCTTTTTTACAAAGTCAAATACGTACCTGTTTATAATTGAAATTTATACATAATACCTAGATAAGTTACACGTTTAGATCAAAAATACGATAAATATACGATGAATTTCGTCATACTGTTCGATCCACCTGATAATATTAATGTTCTTTATTGCTGCGAGATATTACAATCACTATCATAAAATCAAGTTATGATTCAAAATTGTGATAAAAATTACATCAGTGATGATAAAATGACGGTTGCAGTATTCGGCAATCAGAAATACCATATTTTTCATTC